GTTAGAAATCTAGAGGAACAAATGGATTTGTCAGTTAAAAATAGGGAGAGAAGAGTTATTAATGGAGAGTTAGAGGTTATTGGGGAAGATGGAGGGATATTTTGATGAATTGTTAAATGTTGATGAAGATAGGAAGCTGTGATTTCGAGTATAGACAAGGGGGGAATAAATCTTGTAGGAGTGAGGAAGAGCCAGTTGTGAGTGTTGTGGGAAGTTTCGTGATTTTTTTGGGGGAGGCAGTAGGGTTAAAATGAAAGGGGGTTAAGGCAGCCGGAGATTGTTGGGATAAAGATAGGAATGTTTATTAAAAGCAGGGTGGGGATATAGCAGTTTTGGAGTGGTTGGTGTACTTATTTAATAATATGTATGGAAGAGGGTAGGTACTAGGATTGGCAGAGAGCATGCATAGTTCCTTGTATAAGGCAAAAAGGGGATAAAAGAGAGTGCAAAAAAATTATAGGGGGATAAGTCTGCTGGAGGATCCTGGTAAAGTGTATGGTAGAGTTTATTATTGAAAGAATTAAGAGTAAGACGGAGAATAGGATAGCAGATGAACAAGGAAGCTTTATGGAAAGGTATAGGGGGTTGTTGTGACCAGGTGTTTACAGTGAAACATATAAGTGGAAACTGTATTTAGATAAGCTAAAGAGGTTCTTTGTGGCATTTATGGGATTGGAAAGGCGTATGACAGGGTGGATAGGGGGGCAATGTGGCAGATGTTGCAAGTGTATGGTGTAGGAAGGTAGGTTTACTGAAAGCAGTGAAGAGTTTTACTGAGGATAGTGAGGCTCCCCAAGTTATGAGTATGTAGGAAAGAGGGAAATTTTTTCCAGTAAAAGTAGGCCTTAGTCAAGGATGTGTGATGTCACCGTGGTTGTTTAATATATTTATAGATGGGGTTGTAAGAGAAGTAAATGCGAGGGTCTTGGCAAGAGGCGTGGAGTTAAAAGCATAAAGTATAACACACAAAATGTGGGAGTTGTCACAGCGCTCTTTGCTGTTGACACTGTGAGACTCTTGGAGATTCTGAAGAGAAGTGCAGAGATTGGTGGATGAATTTGGGTAGGGTGTTATGCAAAGAGAAAATTAAGGTGAAATCAGGAAAAGAGTAAGGTTATGAGGATAACAAAAAGATTAGGTGATGAAAGAGTGATATCAGATTGCGAGTGGCGAGGGTATGGGAGGAGGTGGAATGTATTCAGATAATTTTGGGATGGGGACGTGTCAGCGGATGGGTCTATGAAAAGATTGAGGTGAATCATAGAATTGATGAGGGGGAAAAAGAGTGAGTGGTGCACTTAGGAGTCTGTGGAGAAAGAACTTTGTCCTTGGAGGCAAAGAGCGTGAATGTATGAGAGTATAGTTTTACCAACGCTCTTATATGGGTGTGATGAAGCTTGGGTGATGAATGTTGCAGTTGAGGAGAGGCTGGAGGCAGTGGAGAGTCATGTCTGAGGGCAATGTGTGGTGTGAATATAATGCAGAGGAATTGTACTTGGAAGTTAGTGAGGAGGTGTGTGGATTACTCAAAAACTGTTGTCCAGAGGGCTGAGAAAGGGTTTTGTTTAGGTGCGTTCGGACATGTAGAGAGAATGGAGCGAACAGAATGACTTCAAGAGTGTATCACTCTGTAGTGGAAGGAAGGGGGCGGGGTTAGGGGTCGGCCTAGGAAGGTTGGAAGAGAGGGGGCAAAGGAGGGTTTTGTGTGCGAGGGCTTGGACTTCCGCAGGCATGCGTGAGCGTGTTTGATAGGAGGAATGTGAGACAAATGGTTTTTAATACTTGAGTGACTGTTGGAGTTGTGAGCTAAGTAACATTTAATGAAGGGGTTCAGGGAAACCGGCAGGCCGGACTTGAGTCTGGGAGATGGGAAGTACAGTGCCTGACACTTTGAAGGAGGGGTGTTAACGTTGCATTTAAAAAAACTGTAGTGTAAAGCACCCTTCTGGCAAGACAGTGAGGGTGAATGATGGTGAAAGTTTTCTCTTTTTTGGGCCACCCTTTGCCTTGGTGGGAATCGGCCAGTGTGATAATAATATAAAAAAAACATGGTGACCATTACACATCCCTGTCTAAGACCTACTTTTACCGGGACGTACTCTCCCTCTCTTCTACAACCCTAACCTGAGCCTCATATCTCATATAAGCTCTTTACAGCATTTAGTAACTTACCACCTATTCCATAAACTTGCAACATTTGCCACATGCTCCTCTATCCACTCTATCATATGCCTTTTCTAAATCCATAAATGCAATAAAAACTTCCTACCCTTTTATCTAAATACTGTCACATATATCGCTTTCAATGTATACACTTGATCTACACATCCCCTACCCACTCTGGAAGCCTCCTTGATCATCCGCAATTCTACATTTTGTCTTACCTCTAATTCTTTCAATTATAAACTTTCTACCGTATAACTATCCTGGTATCTCAGTAAACTATTCCTCTATAATTTTTTAATCTCTTTTGTCCCCTTTCCCTTTAATATAAAGGGACTTTACATGTCTCGACCTATCCCTAGGTACCTTCCCCTCTTTCATACATTTATTAAACAAAAAGTTCCAACCTCTCCAAACACTATATCCCCCATACTTTTACATTTCTGTATGATTCCCATCAGTTCCAGGGCTGCTCTTTACCCCCTTTCATTACGTAATGCCTACGGTACCTCCACCACACTTACATTCTGCTCTTCTTTACTTTGCATTCTACCTAAATACCTCCCTTCTCCCCATCTATAATCCCCCTACTCTGTTTTTAACGGACAATCCATACTTTCCCTAGGCTTTCTTAACTTGTTTAACTCACTCCACAATTTTTTCTTATTTTCATTAAAATTTCTTGAAGTGGCTCTTCCCATCTTTCATCTGCTCTTCTTTTGCACACTCTCACCACTCTCTTCACCTTTCTTTTTACTCTCATATACTCTGCTCTTTTATAAACACTTTCTGCTTTGTAAAAACCTCTGTAAGCGGACCTTTCTCTTTTTATCACACCCTTTTATATTCATTCATTACACCAATCACTCCTCTTTCCTCCTGCCCCCACCCTCCTATAACCACAAACTTCTGCCCCACATTCTAATACTGCATTTTTAAAACTTTCCAACCCTCTTCAACCCCCCCACTACTCATCTTTGCACTAGCCCACCTTTCTGCAATAGTCGCTTATATCTCGCCCAACTTCCTCCCCCCTTAGTTTATACACTTTCACCTCCCTCTTACTTGTTGTTGCCACCTTCCTCTTTTCCCTTTCTACCTCTTACTCTAACTGTAGCTACAACTAAATAATGATCTGACATATCAGTTGCCCCTCTATAAACATGTACATCCTGGAGCCTACCCATCAACTTTTATCCCCCAAAATACATATCTAACAAACTACTTTCATTACGTGCTACAACCCATACCTTGTATATTTATTTATCCTCTTTTTCATAAAATATGTATTACTTATTACCAAATTTCTTTCTACACATAGCTCAATTAAAGGCTCCCATTTACATTTACCCTGGCACCAAATTTACCTACTACTCCCCCCATAAACATTTTTTCCCACTTTAGCATTGAAATCCCCAACCACCATTAAATCTCACAATTGATTCAAAACTCCCACCCCATTCACTCAACATTTCCAGGGAAACTCTCTCTTCTTACACTTCTTTCTTTCTCCAGGTGCATAACGCTTACTATAACCCACTTTTCACATCCAATCTTTATTTTACTCCACATAATCCTTGAATTTTTGCATTTGTAGTCCCTCTTTTCCTGCCATAGCTTATCCTTCAACATTATTGCTACTCCTTCTTTGCTCTAACTCTATTTGAAAACCCTGACCTAACCCCATTTATTCCTCTCCATTAAAAACTCCCCCAAACCCCCTTCAGCTTTTTTTCACTTTAAAGCCAGGACATCCAGTTTCTTCTCATTCATAATTATCCACAATCATCTCTTTCTTATCATTTGCAAAAACATCCACGCACATTCAGGCTTTCCCACTTTTTGACAATTTTCTTTTTCTTATTCTTTTTAGTAATCTTTACAGGAAAAGGGGTTATAGCCCATTGTTCCCGGCATTTTAGTTGACTTTTAAAAACACGCATGGCTTACGGGGGAAAGATTCTTATTCCACTTCCCCATGGATATAAAAGGAAAAGTAATAAGACCAAAAACTATTAAGTAAAATCAAAGAAAAACTCAGATGAGTGTGTATAAAATAAACTTTGTTACATGTATGTGTATTTGGGGACCCAAAAGTGTAAGTAGAAGTAGCAAGATGTACCTGTAATCTTGCATATTTATGAGACAGACAAAAGACACCAGCAATCCTACCATCATGTAAAACAATTACAGGCTTTCGTTTTACACTCACTTGGCAGGACGGTAGTACCTCCCTGGGTGGTTGCTGTCTACCAACCTACTACCTTAAAGTATACGTATTTGGTTAAAAAGCATTAATTTTGAGTAAAAGAGCATTCCTTTACAGATTTTAATTAATTTTTTATAATTTAATTAAAAAAATGATGAACAATTTGATTTAAACAATTTATATAAAAGAAATGAAAAGATAATCAATGATAGTCTGTACATGTAACCTGTCCTCGTCTTATTTCATTAATTTTCTCGGATGATTTTTAAATAGTAGTTTACTAATGTTCCATTAAATAGTATTTTCTTTAGGTCTGGTTGCTTAAATGTATATTTGATTACAAATAAGGAAAATAATGAAAAAAAAAACAGCTCTTCTGACAACACAATGATTGAACAGCAGCTGGAAATGTTTAAATATGCATGCATATTATTTTTGGCATGAGATTAGGTTGCATTGTGAGTTGGAGGAGTAGACTGCATAATCATGTGGGCATGATCAATTTATTTTAATTATACAGAGCACTAAACCCATGTGAGTTATTCACAGCCAGAAGTGGTTGGGGCTCAGTCCACTGTCCACTAATAGTGAGGCACAAATCCTTTCATAGATAGGTTACAATAATTATTAAATATTAATTTAAGCAAGAATAATGTGGCATATTTTAACAATTGTTATTGTTTCTTTTCAACAGATTACATGGCTTCGAGTTCACCAATTGGTACGCTAGAGCGGCCACTGATTACTGTTCCTCCTTTGCCTCTGAAGCTTTCCAAGCCTCCTGCCATTATTCAGTCCTCCCTGGACCCCATGCTACACCAGCCCCTCAACCATCACCCATTCACAGTCATTCATCACCCATGCCTCAAGCGTCTCCTGTTTCTCTTCCATCTCCTAGCCAAGCACAGATTAGTTATACAGTGCCTTCTACAGCTTGTTTCCCATCAAACGTTATGCAATCCACATCTATCTTCACCAATTCCTGCTACTCCAGCACCCAGGCATCAGTTTCACAATCATCATCAAACCATTTGCTTACCCCTCATTCCAATACAAAGATGGGTGTACATCCCTCATCAAAGCTTGAAAAAGATGCAGAAAATGCTGCCCACAAAAGGCAAGTTACCCAACCGTCATTATCCTCTCCCACTGGCAGTGGTCCACAAAGAGGTATATTGGCGTCTTTGCTATCAGCAAGCCCGCATTCTCTGTCATCTAGCAATTCAACACCAGCTGCCACTCCAAATACTACTCCAACACCCCTACATGGACTTGGCCTCTCCTCGCTACCCATTCCCACAAAGAGTAGAACACCATCTCCAAGGATTACACATAGAAAGCCATCTGAAAATCAAACAGAAAATCAAGGATTTAATAATGAAAATAATAATTCAGATGAGGATGCAGTGAATAAGAATGCTGAAATTATTCGCAGACCTAGTATTGCAAAGCTTAAGGAACTCTTTGAAAAAAGTGGAGATGTAGAAACACAAGGTATAAGATTGTCAAGAAGTGCAAGCAGTGTAACATCAAGAACTAACCTCAGCGTTCATCCAGACCCAGAAGGAGGCTTTCGAGTTAAACGTAAAAGTAGTCTTGGAGCAGAAGAGACTTTACAGTCAAAAAAAGCATACGAAATTATTGAAAAATCCCGACAACAAAATTTATGCCCATCTTCACTGCAAGATTCGTCCAAAATGCATATGGCTTCAACTGCTCCAGTTACTGTTGTAAGTGCCTCTAAACCGCCCTCTAGTCCAGTGTACTCCAGTCCCGTTTCTCGTAGACGGGGAAGTCATGCCATGAGTGAGTCTCAAGAAGATGGGTCAACTTCGGCTTTGTTAGCACGAGTAGATGACAGGCCAGCATTGCCTGTTAAAAAAAGTAAGTCGTTCAGGTATGCCCGACCTGTTGATTCTACAACTAACACCATTGCATCAACCAGGAGTCCTGAGCTGGCTAGAAAGAAAGCAGATATAAATACATATTTCAGTCTTGATCGAGGTAAGGGAGACAACTCTGCCCTCAGCAAGTCTGAGAGCGGAAGTGTAAACTTCATAGGAGACATTCCTTCACCAAGAGAAGGGTTCAAATTATCTGTGTATCAAATACCTAATGTTTCTAGTGCACCCCATTCCTTTAATTCAAAAGAGCAAAGGGTACCTGAAAATAAGACTGACATAAAACCACAGATACCTCCTAAAAGGATAATTGGAGAACGCTTAAGGAGCTTTCATCTTCCAGAGTCACTCTATATTACAACAACTCAGTCTTACCCACAGTCTCCTGTGCTGCCAACAACAGCTGCATCTCACATCCCACAGACTGCACCTATAATGGTTTCATCCATGTATGAGAATCCACTCTTTTGGAATAGTTCTCAGCAAAACCAAATGGATAAATCCATATATGACTGCCCAAAGGACCTTCAGGTTGTATCACGAAATGATTATGATAATCTTCCTCCAGTACTAACTGTGACGACTATTCCTAGCACTCGAGTATCACAGGCTTCTCCAGGAGCTGATGGTAAACTATCTACTAAAACCTCCGGTGTATCACCATCGTCGACACCAAGACCATCTCCAACTTCAGAGCTCAATCAAGATGAAACTACAAGTAAAGAATATGTGAATGCTAGAGTAGTTAGAAATCCCAAATCAGATACAAAAGAAGCTACAAGGTATGTTTACGTACCATTGCCCTCTAAAAGGGGTTCACGAGACAACAAAGAACCCCATGAATATGCTAATTGTCCACTAAGTGGACTTTCACAACCTGATTCTGTTGAAGAAGACCCATCTGACTTCTATATGGATCCTCATGTTCTAAAGAAGGGAATCACTGGCAAGTTTCCTGTGTATGATGAGGTAATACCCTCATCTCAGAGTAAACCTGAGGCTTCTCTTTTGAAATCTACCTCCAGAGAGAAAATTCCCCTCTTGTTATCAGCTTCTACAACACCCATCTCAGCTACTACACCTGTTTCTGCTACCACTCCAGGATCTGCAGACTATGAAATGATGGATTTTGGTGAATCTAATGCAAGTGTAGACGAAGTGTTTGAAACTGTAAATTATGAATTGCTAGGTACTAAAGATAAAAGAAATCATAAAAGCACTGACATAAAGAGAGACTTTTGTTCGAAGAAAGATCTTGATCCAATTGCAAGGCAGGTGTATCAAGACTGCCAAGATTACCTTCTCCATGGCAATAACAAATCTCCAGTGCCTTCTCTTATGCCAAAACTGCCAGAAAAAGATGCTGACAAAGTATCTAAAGCATTAGACAACAGTAGTAAATGCAGTGATACATCTCTAAATACAAGTATGGATGTTGATGAAGTCAGAAGTAAAGTCAATGTGGCACCCCAGGGCTTACGGACAAGAGAAAGACGGAACAGTTACAGACAGGCAGTGAATCCGGTTACTCAGAGTGAGCCTAAAACACAAGATGAGAAATCCCATCCAGCCTTAGAACATAACAGAAATATTCACAAATATGAAACCATTTGGTTTGAGAATGGAAAGCACATGACTAGACGGAATAATCCAAGTCCCACCAGCCAACATCAGGCTGCCAAGTCGTCAAGCTTTTCCAAGGAGAATGAGGAGTCGAAGTCCAAAGGAACTGGAAATGCTCACAAACATGCACAACAATTTGCAGGTGATGAGCATGGGCCAAATTTAAACTATAAATCAAACATCAAGGATGCTCTCTTCAGAGAAAAGCTTGAAGAGTTGCATACTCTTGTAAATAATTTAGAGCGACAGAAGCCGGTCCGGTTGAATGCAGCATCTCCTGGATCTGTAGAGGATGATGCCAACTCCAAAGGCTCTGGGAGCAGTAATAGTACCCTTCAGTCATGCTCCACTACATCGTCTAGATCAAGCGAGGTCCAAGAACCAATATATGCAAACACTCACATGCTGCCCATCGCCCGATCACTGTCATCTAATAAGGTACAGCAGCTTCCTCCAAGAACCTTGAGAAATCAGGAGCCAAATGACACAAGATCACCCCTTCCTCTTCATCACAGTAGAACTGAAGTTAAGCTGGATAATACAGACTCAAAAGTAGGTGCACACTCCCCTCTTGTTAATGGAAATTCTATGTATGGCACTATTGCCACAACCACATTTAGAGCAAATCCAGCGTCTCAGTCTTTTCAAAACATGGCACAAAGTCAGGGAAAACCGGCAACACCATATCATAGTGGGGCTTCCACTGCCACACTGCCAGCTCGAACTACTATATCTCCAGCTCCATACCATAATATTCCTCCTCCAAAAGGATTTGGAAGTGGAACATCACCCAGTAATTCTCCCAACCCTCATCAAGCTCTTCAACAAAATCGGGAAAATCGGGAAACCCAGGTAACTTCTCCATACTACAACATGGCTTCATTTACTAGTGGGAAACCCAGTCAGACCCAGAGAATTGTTCCGGGGCAAGAAGTGCGGCAAGGTGGCAAGCCTGGCAACACTCCATATTGCAAACTACCTCCTAATTCAGCTATGGTGCGATCACAATTTTCCCCTCACCAGCCTACCAGAGCTCATATTGTTGGTGACATTGCCTTTGTTGGTTAGTGGATAAAGTGGTATTTTTGTTGAATTTTGTTTATAATTAGTGGTAAAATACTAAAGATTTCATGATTTTTTTCTGCTTCTACTTCTTTTTAAATACTATCTTAAATGAAAATATAATACAATTCATCTAATATAAATTTTGACAAATCGTAATGTTACAAAAATTTGCATTGTAATAACTTAACTGCAGTATAATTAAGGAAGGAGAGGGTATCTCCATTATTATTACAATCAAACACTAAGTGTTAAACCCACAAGGGTCATATAGTGAGGGGGTATCTCCAATTATTTAGACCAAGGACCCTTCACCAGCGTTATTTAAAATACATTATTCCATTTACTCTATAGATTTTCAAGTAAGTCTTGTGTACCAGGTGAAGAATCGGTGCGTCTAAGAAGGCCGGGTGTTGTGCAGCCACCGAGGGCAGACACAGCCAGTGGGTGCAGCAGTAGCGACTCCCGAGGCTCTGAGGGAGCTCCAGTGGCACCTCCCAGAATTAAAAGAAATTCTTCGGCAGGATTGCCTAGACATAGTGCAGTTGACTCGTCTTTTGTCCATAATGACTGGCAGTGTGAGTACATAGACCTATTGTCAAGCACCTTGTTAATGTTGTCGAAGTCAAAGTTTATCTCAACATGATACATTGTTTATACAGTGGACCCCCGACATTCGATGGCATCGACATTCGATAAATCCGACATTCGATGCATTTTAACGCAAAAATTTTGCCTCGACATTCGATGGAAAACCCGACATTCAATACGATTCGTACGAGACATGTCCACGTGTGGCCTGAACTGCCAGTGTGTGCGCATCTAAGGATACATTCGGTACATTCCATATTATCCATATTATCACTGTTTTTGGTGCTTGTTTCTGCAAAATAAGTCACCAAGGGCCCCAAGAAAGCTTCTAGTGCCAACCCTGTGGTAAAAAGGGTGAGAATTAGTATGGAAATTAAGAAAGATTTTGAAGGGTTTGGGGCTAACCCTGAGAAGCCTATGCCAGTTGTGGACTCCATTGTGCCTACTTCAAAAATTAAGGAAATGTGTGCAAAGTGGGTTGAACTGCAAACCTTTATGGATGAAAATCACCCTAACACAGCTATTGCAAGCCGTGCTGGTGACTATTACAATGACAATGTTATGGCCCATTTTAGACAAATCTTAAAGGAACGGCGACAGAGGTCCAGTGACTCTCAAGCTGGTCCTAGTGGCATTAAAAGAAGAAGGGAAGTAACCCCGGAAAAGGACTTGCTACCTCAAGTCCTAATGGAAGGGGATTCCCCTTCTAAACAGTAACAACTTTGACACTCTCCTCTCCTCCCATCCCATCAATCATCACCGGATCTTCATTAAAGGTAAGTGTCAATTATTTTATTGTTATTATTCTATTGTTATTGTTGTTATTGTAATTATTCTATTGCATTAAACTTAATATTTCATGTGGTAAAATTTTTTTTTTCATATTTTTGGGTGTCTTGCACGGATTTTTTTTGATTTCCATTATTTCTTATGGGGAAAATTAATTTGACTTTCGATATTTTTGACATTCAATAGCTCTCAGGAACGGATTAGTATCGAATGTCGAGGGTCCACTGTATAGAAATGAGTGATAATTAAATGCATGCAGAAAGCCCATGGTTATGTAGAGCTTTTTGGGCAAGCTTAAGCCTAACTTGATACTATAAGGGCAATAAATGATACCCACATGTATTTAAGGTCATTAAATGTACATGACTCCTTAGGGAAGTGGAACAGAATTCTTCCTCCGTTAACCATGCATGTTGTAAGAGGCAACTAAAATGCTGGGAGCAAGGGGCTAGTAACCCCCCCTCCTGTATATAGTACTAAATTTAAAAAGAGAAACTTGCATTTTTCTTTTTAGGTCACCCTGCCTATGTGGGATACGGCTGGTTAAAAAAAATGTATACGAGTATAAAATGAATATATATAAGTAGATTAAATATATCATTGCACAAGGAGAGTTCTTTAGTAATATAGTGGACCCTCGACCAACGATGGCATTGATTAACGATAAATCCGACCAGCGATACATTTTAACGCAAAAATTTTGCCTCGACTAGCGCTAAAAAACTCGACCAACACTATTCATTCCGTCTGAGACATGTCCACTTCTGGCCAGTGTTTACAAGCCAGCCAGCCACCGCGGTCGCTTCCAAGCATTCAATCAGAACATTTCATATTATCACAGCCTTTTTAGTGATTGCACCTGCAAAATAAGTCACCATTGGCCCCAAGAAAGCTTCTAGTGCCAACCCTACAGCAAAAAGGGTGAGAATTACTATGGATATGAAGAAAGAGATCATTGCTAAGTATGAAAGTGGAGTGCGTGTCTCCAAGCTGGCCAGGCTGTACACAAAACCCCAATCAACCATCGCTACTATTGTGGCCGAGAAAACGGCAATCAAGGAAGCTGTTCTTGCCAAAGGTGCAACTATGTTTTCGAAACTGAGATCGCAAGTGATAGAAGATGTTGAGAGACTGTTATTGGTGTGGATAAATGTAAAACAGATAGCAGGAGATAGCATCTCTCAAGCGATCATATGTGAAAAGGCTAGGAAGTTGCATGAGGATTTAATTAGAAAAATGCCAGCAACTAGTGGTGATGTGAGTGAATTTAAGGCCAGCAAAGGTTGGTTTGAGAGATTTAAGAATCGTAGTGGCATACATAGTGTGATAAGGCATGGTGAGGCTGCCAGTTTGGACCAAAAAGCAGCTGAAAAATATGTGCAGGAATTCAAGGAGTACATAGACAATGAAGAATTGAAACCTGAACAAGTGTTTAATTGTGACACTGACAATGTTGTGAAACACTTTAGGAATGTCATAAAGGAATGGGAGGTACAGGCCTCTATGGACAGATATGTTGCGTGACAGAGGTCCAGTGACTCTCAAGCTGGTCCTAGTGGCATTAAAAGGGAAGTAACCCCAAAAAAGGACTTGCCACCTCAAGTCCTAATGGAAGGGGATTCCCCTTCTAAACACTAACACCATCAACACTCTCCCCTCCTCCCATCCCAGATCTTCAATAAAGGTAAGTGTCATGTAACTGTGCATGTCTTCTTCAGTTTGTGTGTATTAAAATTAATATTTCATGTGTTAAATTTTTTTTTTTTCAATACTTTTGGGTGTCTTGCACGGATTAATTTGATTTCCATTATTTCTTATGGGGAAAATTAACTTGACTAACGATAATTTTGACTAACGATGAGCTCTCAGGAACGGATTAATAGCGTTAGTCGAGGGTCCACTGTACTGCCTTCATCTTCCATTGTAAGTCACATGCACTATAATTAAATTATATCCTAAATACAATCTGTTTACTGATAATTGTTGTTGGGGACTTTTTATATTCAGTACCACAGGCTTAAGTACAGTGATTTTAATTTTTTAAGGATTGTATTAAATTTGCTTAAAAAGTGTATTGATTGCTGAACAAGTGCTTGGACTATTTTAATCCCTGAAAATAAAGATTAAAGTAAACAGTTGGTGCATATACATAGAGAGAGAGAGAGAGAGAGACGGACTTCTCCTGGTGTATACATTCCCTCACCTGATTATTCAACATACACTAAAAAGCATCTCTTTTTTTCCTCAAAAATTTTAGGTACTTTTTCTCCCCCCCCCTTCAAAACAAACACACACTCACACACACAAAAAAAGAACTAGATGCACTAGAGAATGGTAAAGGTACAAAAGACAAAGGACCCAGAAAAATAAAGAAATCAGCCAAAGAGCCAGAAACGAATATACACAGATGAGAAGGGAGGCTCAGCGACAATACGAAAATGACATCGAAAGCCAAGTCTGACCCAAAGCTGTTGTATAGCCACATCAGGAGGAAAACAACAGTCAAGGACCAGGTAATCAGGCTCAGGAAGGATGGTGGGGAGGTCACAAGAAATGACTAAGAGGTATGTGAGGAGCTCAGCATGAGATTTAAAGAAGTACAGTGTATTTACAGTGGAAACAGGTAGGACTCCAGGAATTCAGAACAGGAAGGTACACCAACAAGTGCTGGATGAGGTACACATAACCGAGGAGATGAAGAAGCTGCTATGTGAACTTGATACCTCAAAGGTGATGGGACCAGACAACATCTCTCCATGGGTCCTGAGAGAGGGAGCAGAGATGCTGTGTGTGCCACTAACAAAGATTTTCAACACATCCATTGAAACTGGGCAACTACCTGAGGTATGGAAGATGGCAAATGTAGTCCCAATTTTTTAAAAAGGAGACAGACACAAGGCATTAAACTACAGACCTGTGTCACTAACGTATATAGTATGCAAAGTCATGAAGAAGATCATCAGGAGGAGAGTGATGGAGCACCTGGAAAGAACAAGCGTATAATCAACAACTAGCACAGTTTCGGGGAAGGAAAATCCCGTGTCACAAGCCTACTGGAGTTTTATGACAAGGTGACAGAAGTAAGACAAGAGAGAGAGGAGTAGATAGACTGCATTTTCTTGGACTTAAAGAAGGCCTTCGACACAGTTCCTCACAAGAGGTTAATGCAAAAGCTAGAGGATCAGGCACACATAACAGGAAAGGCACTGCAATGGTTCAGAGAATATCCGACAAGGAGGCAACAGCGAGTCATGGTACGTGACGAGGTGTCAGAGTGGGTGCCTGTGACAAGCGAGGTTCCACAGGGGTTGTAGGACCTGTGCTGTTTTTGGTATATGTGAATGACATAGCAGAAAGGATAGACTCAGAAGTGTCCTTGTTTGCAGATGATGTGAAGTTAATGAGGAGAATCAAATTGGTCAAGGATCAGGCAGAACTTCAAAGAGACCTGGACAGGCTAGAAACCTGGTCCAGCAACTGGCTCCTTGAATTTAACCCTGCCAAATGCAGAGTCATGAAGAGCGGGAAAGGGAAAAGAAGACCACAGGCAGAGTATAGTCTAGGTGGCCAAAGACTGCAAACCTCACTCAAGGAAAAAGATCTTGGGGTAAGTATAATACCGAACACATCTCCTGAGGCGCACATCAATCAGATAACTGCTGCAGCATATGGGCATCTGGCAAACCTAAGGATAGTGTTCCAATACCTCAGTAAGGAATCCTTCAAGACTCTGCACACCATTTACGTCAGGCCCAAATTGGAGTATGCGGCACCAGTTTGGAATCCACACCTGGTCAAGCACGTCAAGAAATTATAGAAAGTGCAAAGGTTTGCAACAAGACTAGGGCTCTGGTGGCCTGGTGGTTAACGCTCTCGCTTCACACGGTGAGGGCATGGGTTCGATTCCCAGCCAGAGTAGAAACATTGGACGTGTTTCTTTCCACCTGTTGTCTATGTTCCCCATCAGTAAAATGGGTACCTGGGTGTTAGTCGACTGGTGTGGGTCGCATCCTGGGACACTGACCTAAGGAGGCCTGGTCACAGACCGGGCCGCGGGGGCGTTGACCCCCGGAACTCTCTCCAGGTAAACTCCAGGTAGTCCTAGAGCTAAGGGGATTGTCTTATGAATAAAGATTAAGGGAAATTGGCCTGATGACACTGGAGGAGAGGAGGATCAGGGGATACATGATGATGACATATAAAATACTGCACAGAATAGACAAGGTGGACAAAGGCAGGATGTTCTGGAGATGGGACACGGAAACAAGGGGTCACAATTGTAAGTTGAAGACTCAGATGAGTCAAAGGGATGTTAGGAAGTATTTCTTCAGTCATAGAGTTGTCAGGCAGTGGAATAGCCTAGAAAGTAATACATGTATAGTGGAGGCAGAAACCATACATAATTTTAAGACGAGGTTTGATAAAGCTCATGGAGCATGGAGAGAGAGGACCTAATAGCAATCAATGAAGAGGCAGGGCCAGGAGCTATGACTCGACCCCTGCAACCACAAATAGGTGTGTACACACACACACACACACACAGGGGAGACATGATAATGACATATGAGATACTGCGTGGAATAGGTAAGGTGGACAGAGACAGGATGTTCCAGAGAGGGGACGCAGAAACAAGGGGTCACAATTGGAAGCTGAAGACTCAGACGAGTCACAGGGATGTTAGGAAGTATTTCTTCAGTCATAGAGTCGTCAGGAAGTGAAATAGCCTAGCAAGTGACGTAGTGGAGGCAGGAACCATACATAGCTTTAAGTCAAGGTATGACAAAGCTCAGGAAGCAGAGAGAGAGAGAGAGGACCTAGTAGCCGTCAGTGAAGAGGCGGGGCCAGGAGCTGAGTCTCGGCCCCTGCAACACAATTAGGCGAGTACAATTAGATGAGTACACACACACACACACACACATATACATACATACATACATACATACATACATACATACATACATCATACATACGTACATACATACATATACATACATACATGCATGCATATACATACATACATACATATACATACATACATACATATACATACATATACATAAATACATATACATATACATATATACATATACATATATACATATACATACAGACATACATACATACATATACATACATACATACATACATATACATACATACATACATATACATACATACATATACATACATACATATACATACATACATATACATACATATACATACATACATATACATACATACATACCCATACACATATGGCCAATTTTTAACTTTATATTTCAATTATGTCTTAAAACCATAAAATACAGAATATATGTTTTATTACCTTTTATTGGTACATAAAAGACATTAAAATTTATTTAAACCCCCTTTAAGGAGGTTCCTTAATGTGTTAAGAACTGCAATTTTAACTATGGTCAAACATTAATTTAATTTGACAAGGTCTGTTAATAAATTAGTGTTAACGAGTCAGTGGTAATTACAAAACACAATATTACTGTATATTGTAATACAAATTCACTTATACAAATATTTCAGGTTTATCAGATGTTCAAGACAACTATTGCCAGACCATCCTGACAGCCAAGCAGGTAAGGATGAAATACTATATTACCACAGTAATATTTATTATTATAGTGCTTAGTGAACACTTATCACCCATATTTTCAAACATTACTACAGCCTCTCCTCATTTAACAACAGAGTTCCACTATTCATCACTATGTGAGGAGCATACTATAATGGTAGTAAGTTTGTGTCAACCATCTTTGATATTGTTTTAATGTCACCTTTGCACTACTTATAACATTTCTAGTATATTTTTAAATGTTTATACAGTAGTGTACTGTATATTGAAATAAAAAGAAAAGAGGAAATCAGCTCTTGATGTACATTATTTAGGTATGAATACTGGTCAGAGAGCCTGTTGCATGTCCAAGGTGTCGGTAAACGAGTACATCGCTAAGTGAGGAGAGGCTACATATATACATATACAGTGGACCCCCGCATAACGATCACCTCCCAATGCGACCAATTATGTAAGTGTATTTATGTAAGTGCGTTTGTACGTGTATGTTTGGGGGTCTGAAATGGACTAATCTACTTCTCAATATTCCTTATGGGAACAAATTCGGTCAGTACTGGCACCTGAACATACTTCTGGAATGAAAAAATATTGTTAACTGGGGGTCCACTGTACCTTCTTCTGTCAACAAACTGGCCATATCCCATTGAAGCAGGGTGGCCCAAACTTCAGTAATGTATACAGGAGAAGGGGTTACTAGCCCCTTGCTCCTGGTATTTTAGTTGTCTCTGATGACATGCATGGCATACAGAGGAAGAATTCTGTTCCACTTCCCCATGGAGATGAGAGGAAATAAACAAGAACAAACACTATTAAGAAAATAGAAGAAAACCCAAAAGGGTGTGTGTATATATATGCTTGTACTTGCATGTGTAGTACGACCTAAGTCTAAGTAGAAGTAGCAAAACATACCTGAAATCTTGCATGTTTATGAGACAAAAAAAAAAAAACAGCAATCCTGCCATCAATTACAGGCTTTTGTTTTACACTCACTTGACAGGACAGTAGTACCTCCCTGGGCAGTTGCTGTCTACCAGCCTACTACCTAGAATATACATGTATGTACATCCTAAGTAGCAGGTTGGTAGAGAGCAACTGCCTAGGGAGGTACTACTGTCCTGCCTAGGGAGTGTAAAACAGACAACTGTAATTGTTTTACATGATGGTAGAATTGCTGGTGTTTTTTTGTTTCATAGACATGCAAGATTTCAGGTACGTCTTGCTACTTCTACTTACACTTAGGTCACACTACACATGCATGTACAAGCATATATATATACCCACCCCCTCTGGGTTTTCTTCTGTTTTCTTGCTAGTTTTTGTTCTTGTGTATTTCCTCATATCTCCATGGGGAAGTGGAACAGAATTCTTCCTCCGTAAGCCATGCGTTTCATAAGAGGAAACTAAATGCCAGGAGTAAGGGGCTAGTAACTCCTTCTCCTGTATGCATTACTAAAGTTATGAAGAGAAACTTTTTCTTTTTGGGCCATCCTACCTCAGTGGGATACGGCTGGTTTGTTGAAAGAAGACGAAGACAGACAGACAGACAGACAGACAGACAGACAGACAGACAGACAGACAGAAACAGAGACACAGACACAGACACACAGACACAGATACACACACACAGACACACACACACAGACACACACACAGACACACACACAGACACACACACACACACACACACACACACAACTGAGGGGGAGGTAAAGAAGCTCCTAAGTGACCTTGACACCTCAAAGGCGGGGGAACCGGATAACATCCCCCCCATGGGTTCCTTAGAGAAGAAGCAGAGATGCTGTGCGTGCCTCTAACCACAATCTTCAACACATCCCTTGAAACTGGGCAACTACCTGAGAAATGGAAGACAGCTAATGTAGTCCCCATATTTAAGAAAGGAAACAGAAACGAGGCTCTAAACTACAGACCTGTGTCTCTGACATTTTATTGTGTGCAAAGTCATGGAGAAAAATTTTCAGGAGGAGAGTGGTCAAACACCTGGAAAGGAAAGATTATATATGAAAACCAGCATGGGTTCATGGAAGGCAAATCTTGTATCACAAACCTCCTGGAGTTTTATGACAAGGTAACAGAAGTAAGACACGAGAGAGAGGGTGGGTAGATTGCGTTTTCCTAGACTGCGGGAAGGCCTTTGACACGTTCCCCCCCAAGAGATTAGTGCAAAAGTTGGAGGATCAGGCGCATGTAACAGGGAGGGCACTGCAATGGATCAGGGAATACCTGACAGGGAGGCAGCAACGAGTTATGGTACGTAAAGAGGTATCACAGTGGGCGCCTGTGACGAGCGGGGTCCCACAGGGGTCAGTTCTAGGACCAGTGCTATTTTTGATATATGTGAATGACATGATGGAAGGAATAGACTCTGAAGTGTCCCTGTTCGCAGATGATGTGAAGTTGATGAGAAGAATTAAATGGGATGGGGAAATGAGGCAGGACTGCAAAGAGACCTGGACAGGTGGACATGTGGTCCATAACTGGCTTCCGAATTAAATTTCCAGCCAAATGCAAAGTTATGAAGATTGGGGAGGGGCATAGAAGACCGCAGACAGAGTATAGGCTAGGGGGAAACAAAGACTACAGACCTCACTCAGGGAGAAAGACCTTGGGGTGGCCATAACACCCGAGCACAAATCCCCGGAGGCACACATCACCCAAATAACTGCTGCAGCATACGGGCCCCTGGCAAACCTGAAAAGCGTCAATACCTTAATAAGGAATGTTCAAGACATGTACACTGTTATGTTAGGCCCATACTGGAGTTGCAGCACCAGTTGGAACCAACACCTGGTCAAGCACGTCAAAAAAGTTAGAGAAAGTACAAAGGTTTGCAACAAGGCTAGTCCCAGAGCTCAGGGGAATGTCGTACGAGGAAAGGTTGAGGGAGATCGAACTGAGACACTGGAGGACAGAAGGGTCGGGGGGAGACATATAACGACATAAAAGATACTGGCGGGAATAGACAAGGTGGACAGAGATAGGATGTTCCAGAGACGGGACACAGGGACAAGGGGTCACAACTGGAAGCTGAAGACTCAGACGAGTCACAGGGACGTTAGGAAGTATTTCTTCAGTCATAGAGTTGTCGGGAAGTGGAATAGCCTAGCAAGTGAAGTAGTGGAGGAGGAACCATACATAGTTTTAAGAAGAGGTATGATACAGCTCAGAAGCAGAGAGAAAAGGGACCTAGTAGCGATCAGTGAAGAGGCGGGGCCAGGAGCTGAGTCTCAAACCCTGCAACCCACAATTAGGTGAGTACAATTAGGTGAGTACACACACACAGACACACACACAGACCACACACACAGACACACACACACATACACACACACACATACACCCACACACATACACACACACACAACACACACACACATACACACACACACATACACAAACACACATACACACACACCATACAAAACACATACACCACACATACACACACACATACACACACACATCACACACACAACACACACACATACACACACACATACACCACACATACACACACACACACACACACAACACACACACAACACAACACACACACACACACACACCACACACACACACACAAACACAAACGGGGCCTAGTGTCTAATCGACATGTGCCTAAGACAAAATGGTGACACACACACACACACACAACACACACACACACACACACACACACACACACACACACAGTCCTAGGACCAGTGCTGTTTCTGGTATTTGTGAACGACAGACGGAAGGAATAGACTCTGAGGTGTCCCGTTTGCGGGATGACGTGAAGTTGATGAGAAGAATTCACTCGATCGAAGACCAGGCAGAACTACAAAGGGATCTGGACAGGCTGCAGACCTGGTCCAGCAATTGGCTCCTGGAGTTCAATCCCACCAAGTGCAAAGTCATGAAGATTGGGGAAGGGCAAAGGGGCCGCAGACGGAGTACAGTCTAGGGGGCCCAGAGACTAAAAACCCTCACTCAAGGAAAAAGATCTTGGGGTGAGTATAACACCAGGACATCTCCTGAAGCGCACATCAACCAAATAACTGCTGCAGCATAGGGCGCCTAGCAAACCTCAGAACAGCATTCTGACATCTTAATAAGGAATCATTCAGGACCCTGTACACCATGTACGTTAGGCCCATATTGGAGTATGCGGGACCAGTTTGGAACCCACACCTAGCCAAGCACGTGAAGAAACTAGAGAAAGTGCAAGGTTTGCAACAAGACTAGTCCCAGAGCTAAGAGGTATGTCCTACAGGAGAGGTTTAAGGGAAATCAACCTGACAACACTGGAGGACAGGAGAGATAGGGGGGACATGATAACGACCCTACAAAATACTGAGAGGGGAATTGACAAGGGGACAAAGACAGGATGTTCCAGAGATTGGACACAGTAACAAGGGGACACAGTTGGAAGCTGAAGACACAGATGAATCACAGGGATGTTAGGAAGTATTTCTTCAGCCACAGAGTAGTCAGTAAGTGGAATAGTTTGGGAAGCGATGTAGTGGAGGCAGGATCCATACATAGCTTTAAGCAGAGGTATGATAAAAACTCATGGCTCAGGGAGAGTGACCTAGTAGCGATCAGTGAAGAGGCGGGGGCCCGGACTCGGACTCGACCCCCGCAACCTCAACTAGGTGAGTACACACACACACACACACACACACACACGTAGGTGGGGCCAGGAGCTGTGACTCGACCCCTGCAACCACAAATAGGTGAGTACAACCACACACACACACACACAAAACACACACACACACACACACACACACACACACACACCCCACACACCCCAACACACCACACACAGTAACAATACAGCTGAAGACCTTTCATACTGTCACCAGTGCTTCTTCAGGAATGTACAAATATAGAAATTGAAAATTGCTGTTGAAAATCAGAACAAGTGGTGTGATGTAACCAAATTTTATTCACATTATTTATTTATTTGTTTACAAACATTATATCTTATAGGTGACCAGTCGATTTTAAATCAAAATGCTAATATCTCAGGCAGGCTGGCGTATTCAGCTTTGGTGCTCTACCTAGCTATGGACTTGTTGGCTATGAGATATTGAATATTGTTTGTAAATATACCATCTGTTTTGGTGTCTGATGATCTAAAATTTACAAGTCTTGTGACAATTTCATACTAGTGAGTTTTATTTTGTGTCTAATAATACTACTTTGTTACTTGTTAACTACATCACCTGTATACTGCAAAAAAAATGAAATTTATTATTATTAATATATTGAAGGTATTCTCCAGAAATGGGGGAAAGGTCAGCATGCATCTTTGGATATGCTTGTTAAGGCCTCGGCCTTAATGCAGTTGTGTCTTTGCAAATTTTCATTGCGAATTTCCCTGGCATTGATGAATTATTATTATAATCAAAACCAAGTGCTAAACCCACAAGGGTCATACAGCAGCATTGATGAAGCATCCTGAATGAGGATAGAATGTTTGTGTCAACCCTTTCCTCATCTCTGGAGTGTTTACCTGGAGAGAGTTCTGGGGGTCAACGCCCCCGTGGCCCGGTCTGTGACCAGGCCTCCTGTGTTTACATTCAAGGAATATGTACTAGCCTATGTGTGGTTGTTGGAGTTGAGCGAGTGTGTGTGTGTGTGCTCACCTAGTTGTACTCAACTAGTTGTGGTTGAAGGGGTCCAGTCACAGCTCCTGGCCCTGCCTCTTCACTGGTAGCTACTAGGTCACTCTTCCTGCTCCATGAGCTTTATCATACCTCTTCTTAAAGCTATGTATGGATCCTTCTTCCACTACATCACTTGCTAGACTGTTCCACATTCTGATAACTCTGTAACTGAAGAAATACTTCCTAACAACCCTGTGATTTATCTGAGTCTTCATCTTCCAATTGTGACCTCTTGTTGTTGTGTCCCATCTCTGGAACATCCTGTCTCTGTCCTTGTCAATTCCTCTCAGTATTTTGTCGTTTTCATATTTCCCCTATCTCTCCTGTCCTCCAGTGTTGTCAGGTTGATTTCCCTTAACCTTTCCCTGTAGGACATGCCTCTTAGCTCCAGGACTAGTATTGTTGCAAACGTTTGCACTTTCTCTAATTTCTGCACATGCTTGGCTAAGTGTGGGTTCCAAACTGGTGTTGCATACTCCAATACAGGAATGGCATACACAGTGTACAGGGTCCTGAGCGATTCCGTATTGAGATTTCGGAATGCTATTCTTAGGTTTGCTAGGCACCCATATGCTGCAGCAGTTATTTGGTTAATGTGCACCTCAGGAGATGTGCCCAGTGTTTACTTACTCCAGGATCTTTTTCCTTGACTGAGGTTTGTAGTCTCTGCCCCCCTAGACTGTACTCTGCAGTCTTCTTTGCCCTTCCCCAATCTTCATGACTTTGCACTTGGTGGGGTTGAACTCCAGGAGCCAGTTTCTAGACCAGGCTTGCAGCCTGTCCAGATCCCTTTGTAGTTCTGCCTGGTCCTTGTCTGGTTGAATTTTTCTCATCAACTTCACATCATCCACAAACAGGGACACTTCTGAGTCTATTCCTTCCGTCATGTTGTTCACATATACCAGTCCTAGAACTGACCCCTGTGGAACCCTGCTCATCACAGGCACCCACTCTGACACTGTCTTCTACCATGACTCTCTGATGTCTTCTCAACAGGTATTCCCTGATCCATTGCAGTGCCTTCCCTGTTATACCTGCCTGGTCCTCCAGCTTTTGCACCAATCTCTCATGTGGAACTGTGTCAAAAACCTTCTTACAGTCCAAGAAGACACAATCTACCCACCCATTTCTCTCTAGTCTTACTGCTGTCACCCTGTCATAGAACTCCAGTAGGTTTGTGACACAGGATTTCCCATCCCTGAAGCCATGCTGGTTGTCAGTGTGTGTGTGTGTGTGTGTGTGTGTGTGTGTGTGGTGTGTGTGTGTGTGTGTGTGTGTGTAAGAGATAAGATAAGATAAGATTTCGTTCGGATTTTTAACCCCGGAGGGTTAGCCACCCAGGATAACCCAAGAAAGTCAGTGCGTCATCGAGGACTGTCTAACTTATTTCCATTGGGGTCCTTAATCTTGTCCCCCAGGATGCGACCCACACCAGTCGACTAACACCCAGGTACCTATTTGCTGCTAGGTGAACAGGACAACAGGTGTAAGGAAACGTGTCAAATTTTTCCACCCGCCGGGAATCGAACCCGGGCCCTCCGTGTGTGAAGCGGGAGCTTTAGCCACCAGACCACCGGGCCAACCTCACCTAATTGTGGTTGCAGGGGTTGAGACTCAGCTCCTGGCCCTGCCTCTTCACTGAGTGCTACTAGGTTCTCTTTCTCCTTGCTCCATGAGCTTTATCATACCTCATCTTAAAGCTATGTAGGGCTCCTGCCTCCACTACCTCGCTAGGCTATTCCACTTCCTGACTACTCTATGGCTGTAAAGTAAAAGGACACAAGTGCAACTAATGTGACATTTTATTGTGGCAACGTTTCGCTCTCCAGGAGCTTTGTCAAGCCTGACATCCCTTTGACTCATCTGGGTCTTCAACTTCCAATTGTGACCCCTTGTTTCTGTGTCTCCTCTCTGGAACATCATGTGTGTGTGTGTGTGTGTGTGTGTGTGTGTGTGTGTGTGTGGTGTGTGTGTGGGGTTTTGTGTGTGTGGTGTGTGTGTGTGTGTGTGTAAATCACCTAGTTGTACTCACCTAGTTGAGGTTGCAGGGGTCGAGTCCAAGCTCCTGGCCCCGCCTCTTCACTGGTCGCTACTAGGTCACTCTCCCTGAACCATGAGCTTTATCATACCTCTGCTTAAAGCTATGTATGGATTCTGACTCCACTACATCGCTTCCCAAACTATTCCACTTCCTGACTACTCTGTGGCTGAAGAAATACTTCCTAACATCCCTTTGATTCATCTGTGTCTTCAACTTCCAACTGTGTCCCCTTGTTACTGTGTCCAATCTCTGGAACATCCTGTCTTTGTCCACCTTGTCAATTCCTCTCAGTATTTTGTAAGTCGTTATCATGTCCCCCCTATCTCTCCTGTCCTCCAGTGTCGTCAGGTTGATTTCCCTTAACCTCTCCTCATAGGACATACCTCTTAGCTCTGGGACTAGTCTTGTTGCAAACCTTTGCACTTTCTCTAGTTTCTTTACATGCTTGGCTAGGTGTGTGTGTGTGTGTGTGCGTGCGTGCGTGCGTGTGTATGAGTGTTTATTTTTAATTCAACAGTTGTCTTCCATAAGACAGGGTGACCCATGGAAGAAAATGCATTGACCATAATTCATTCAGTTATTGTCTTTATAATAAATTTATTATGTATATATATATAGATGTGTGTATATATATATATATAATGTGTGTGTATATATATATATATATTTGGGTCACCCTGCCTTGGTGGGAGACGACCGACTTGTTGAAAAAAAAAAAAAAAAAAAAATTATAATATAAAATATATATATATAATATATATATATATATATTTTATATATATATATATATATATATGTGTATATATAAAATATATATATGTGTATATATATATATATTTTAGTGTATATATATATAGATGTGTGTATATATATATATAGATGTGTGTATATATAATAGATGTGTATATATATATATATATAGATGTGTTATATATATATATAATATATATATATATAAAATATAAATAATTTTATAATATATATTTTATATTTAAAAATATATATAATATTTTATATATATATAATATATATAATAAATTTTTTTTTAAATTTTTTTATTTTATAATATTATAAACATATACTAATTCAGCTTTTCTGTAGTAGTATAATCTAAGTATATTTCAGCCCCATGTAATATTTCACAGTCGGGGTTCAGGAAACTCTCTATCAAAAGGCTTCCTGTTGTGAAATTTGTCGTTTCTTGGTTAACAGTGTTGTAATTCCACACAACAGTAGACTTTTTGCATAATTTTGCTTTTCAATGCATCTAAAAGGTAGATTGTGGTGGATTTGGTCTGATAAGGTCCCATTCAAAATAGCTTCATATATTTCAGCTCTTTTTATTTTATCTCTTGTGAATATGCCAACTTTGTGAATGGCTATTATCTTTTCCATAGTCCTAGATCTTGGTGACATCGATTTTTTTTTCTACAGTTGTCCTAGAGTTTGTTGGTGAGAATACCAACTCTCTTGTTTTATACAGGGAGGGCTGAAGTATCACTTCTACTAGTGCCAGGCCAGATAGTTAGGCTGGCGCTGGCTTGCAATTCCCGCTTATCTTCACACACACCATGAAAACATGACCTGTGCACTCGCGCCAGCCAGCCCGTAGGATTACACTGGTGTTAGTTCTTGTGTATTAATAGACTAATGTGTGCGTATATGCTAATAATTGCAAAAGTGTTGTGCTATTTTTTTTATTAACTCCTGTGCTTCTTGTGTAGTTACAGTAGTATTGTAGTAATACACTCTTAGAGTCTTCTAGAGTAAGTAGTTGAAAAATAAAATTGAATGCACCACACTACTTTATATTTCATGAGTTATTAACTGTATTTTTAAGACAAAAAAATCATTTTAATGTATTTATTCAGTTTATAATTTATCCATATCATTCATATAAAAGAGTATTTCTGGACAACAGTTAAATGTTGCCTCATTGAACATGGCAGTGTAAGGTCAATTACTGTAGTCATGAAGAATTATTATTACTGTTATTATTATTATTATTACAATCAAAAGTAAATGCTAAACCCACAAGGGTCATTTGTAAAGAAGTAGTAAGCCTGTAAGTGCTATATAGTGCCTGGGGGAATGGGAAGTAATCAGCAAGGCACTTATCTTTAAGATGGAAGTCTTGTTGCGGCTGAAGAATTGATGATCCAAGGAGTTTAAGATGTCCCATCCTTCCTAAGATTAAATATAATTCAAGTCCTTCCTATTTCTCAGGCGCTGTAAGGCATCTACAGGTATAGTGCTTCCCTACAGCTATATTATAATCCAACTCAAGTCAGGCAATGTCAGAAGCAGTGGTAGTGATAAGGTTACTGAGATGTTTAGAGAGAGAAAAAAGAGAGCATGTTGATGGAGAATAAAGAAGGCAACATCATCTCTCCATCAAAATCTCTGTAACCGTCTCACTACCATTGCTTTTGACGCTACCTTCCTTAATTCGCAAATACATTCTACTAAATTACACAACTCGAGTCATGTATCATGCATTTGCACGAGCTCTTATTGCTGTTATATATTAATTATTATTATAAGCAAAACTAAGTACTAAACCCACAAGGGTTATACATTGCTATTATTATATATTAGACTCTTACTTCTTCTCAGGCTCACTCTAGGCAAGGACACAAGATAAAGTAATTCCTTGTAAGAATGTTTAGATATTTTGTGATTACCACTCCTCAATGTTTATCAGTTTTCCAACATTTTATCAGCTCTACAGTTTTAATTTGTTTTATGTTTTGTTCTGCTATATAATAAACAAATGCTATGAATTTTTGCATGGTTTTTGGTATTTTCTATGAGTGTTCATAAAATATTTTCATTGATATTCTGTCCTAAATGTTTGATGCCTGTTGTGTCAGTTCAGTGCTACATGCATTAATTTCTGATAGAAATGCATGATTTTTACACATATTTATATAATCTTTAAATAGAATTTATAAAGTGTAGGAAATAAAATTTTTGGGGTTTAAAAATTTTTGTTAAAAAAAATCGTCAACATTTTTTTTTTTATTAGCTTTTGTTTAAAAAATAAAATTTTTTGGTATTCTAAATTTGTTTGCAAAGGTTTTCATTTGTGTACAGAAATTTTTTATTTAAGGGTTTACTAAATAAAAAAAAACCCCAGAAATACTTTTTTTAAATTTTACAAATTGTATAGTAGTTTGTTTTTGTGTTTTATTACCTAAACCGTTTTATTTTAAAATTCCGGGTACCCAGTTACTACTAAATATTCTTTCTAAACCCCCCCAGAGGGGGCCCTTTGAATAATGAGGGGGCCCCCACTGCTTTCCCTTTCCAAGACTCCCGCAGTTACCAGTACTCGGGACCCCCCGCCCCCGCCCCCTCACTAAAAATTCCCTAATCTGAACCACCTCCCTTCCATCCACCACCCTCTATATATAAAACCCACCCCCCCCAAAACCTTTTGCCCCCCCAGTCATCTCACATGTTGAAATATTCACAAACCCTCACACTCCCGTCGGGTCACGCGCGTCCCCAAATCTGCGTGTACCCAGATCCCCTCGTCTTTGTCTCCGCACATTCCCCTCGGCCCAGTCACTCTCTACCCTCGGATCCCCAAACAGATTCAGAGCGGGAAAGCGGGCCCAAATAAAAGATTTGTATCTTAAATTTAAAACCCAGACGAACCTACATCAGAAAAAAATAATAAATGCTTCTGCTTTAAAACTCGGGTTTAAGGTGGAGGACTCAATCCCAAATGGACGCACTTCCAAAGTTTTGATGAGGGGTTTTTTCCCAAAAGGGTTTTCAGTAAAAAATATATTCAAAAAATGGCGCACAAACAAAAAGAGTTAATCTCGCCAACCCTTCATCCCCCAAATCTGCATTTTCCCCATTTTTCATCTAAGAGACAAAAGGGGGAAAAAAAGGACATCCAGAAAGGGGACAAAAGGGTTGAGGGAAAAAAAATAAAGAAGCTGGGATGTCTTTTGCCAAATCTCCTAAACCCTTAGAAAAGGCTTTTGGAAAAAATTAAAATTTAAACCCAAAATAAAGGAGCACCCAATTTTCAAGTTTTTTTGAAGTCAACGGGGGGAAAAAGTGGATGTTGATAGAGCGAAGTGGGGGGTTCTCCAATGAAACCCCTGTGATTTTCCCCAACAATTCACCTTGCACTAGCACGCGAGGCATCCAAAAAGAGTGCTAGTTCAGGGGGCCAAAAACCCTCCTGCTTTTTTCCTTGGTTGGCACCCAAAATACAGTAAGTTACTCTTTCCATATCAAACCCTACAAACATAATATTTATATTTATTTTTATATATATATATATATATATATATTTTAAAATATAATTAAAAATATAAATTTTAAAAGGTTTGTAGGTTTGGGAGACGCAACCACCCCGGAATACTACCGTCCTGCCAGATGACTGTGAAACAAAAACCTGTAACTGTTTTTCATGATGGTAGGATTGTGGTTTCTTTTTCTGTTTCATAAAAACGCTAAGATAACGGGGGTATCTTTTACTCCTACTTACATTTGGGTAAACCTTCACAACACGCAAAAGCAATATAAAATTTTTCATACATCTGGGTTTTTTTCCCCTTTTTCTAAATAGCTCTTTTTTTCTTTTTTTTTTCTTCTATTGCCATGGGGAAGGGGAAAAAGTCTTTCCTCCGTAAGCCATGCGTTTTCGTATGGGGCCAAAAAGCCGGAGCAAGGGGGTGAAACCCCCTTCTCTGTTACATTACAAAAAAAAGAGAAGAAGAAAAACTTTATAAAACGGGGTTTCTTAAATGGGTGGTGTATGCGGATGAAAGAAACAGATGTTGTGATTAGAATGAAAAAAAGTTGGATGTCCTGGCCCTAAGCGAAAAAAAGCTGAAGGGGGTGGAGATTTAGTGGGGGAAAAAAAATGGGTTTAAAACTGGAGTATCTGAGAGATTAGGCAAAGGGAAAGGGGGCAGTAAGTTAAATGATCATTTTTTGGAAGGAGAAAAGGAAATTGTGTAAAAATTCAAGAATTATGTGTTTAAAAGTAAAGGTTGGATGGGGAATGGGTCATAATAAGCGTGATGACCTGGAAAAGAGGGAAGCAGAGGAGAGAGAGAGATTTTGGGAGTTTTTTAAGGAATGAAAGGGAGCCTTTGAACCAAGTGAGAGGTAATTGTGGTAGGGGATTTGAATGTAAAGTAGGAGAAACTTTTAGAGAGGGGGGGGAGTAAGTTTGGGGTGCCAGGTGTAAATGATAAGGGGGCCCCTTTTGATTGAATTTTTTTATAGAAGGGGTTTTTAGTTTAGGTAATACATTTTTAAAAAAAAGGGGATAAATAAGTATACACGTTGAGTGGGGCGAAAATGACAGTAGTTTGTTGGTTATGTTTTGGGTAGATAAAAACTTTTGAGAAGATTCAGTGTAAGTTTATGGGGGGGGCCCACGATATACAGTCATTTTAGTTGTAGCTACATGAGAGTAAAAGTGATGGGAAAAAAGGAGAATAGAAGACAGGGGGGAGAGAGGTGGGTTTATAAACTAAAAAGGGGCAGTTAGGGAAGATATAAACAGCATTGGGGGATAATGGGCTAAGAGAGGGATAGGGAATGGGGGGCGAAGAGGTTTGGGGTAGGGTTTTAAAAAAGAGTGTTGGTGTTCGCAGAAGTTTGTGGTTACAGGAAAGTGGGGGCAGGGGGAAGAGGGGCGATTGGGGGGAATGATGTGTAAGAGATAGTAAGGGGGAAAAAGTTAGCAAGAGAAGTTTTTACAAAGTAGAAGTGATGAAGGAGGGAAGGAAAATGGGGAAAAAGAGAGAAGTTAAGAGAGTGGTGAAGCAATGTAAAAAGAGGGGCAATAAAAGAGTGGGTGAGATGTTTTCAAAATTTTGTTGAAAATAAAAAAAAGTTTTGGAGTGAAAATTAACAAGTTAAAAAAACCTAGAGAACAAATGGATTGTCAGTTAAAAATAGAGAGGAGAGTTATTAATGGAGAGAGAGGTATTGGAAGATGGAAGGATTTTTTTGAGGAATTGTTAAATTTTGATGAAGATAGGGAAGCTGTGATTTCGTGTATAGGGCAAGGAGGAATAACATCTTGTAGGAGTGAGGGAAGAGCCAGTTGTGAGTGTGGGGGAAGTTCGTGAGGCAGTAGGTAAAATGAAAGGGGGTAAGGCAGCCGGATTGATGGGATAAAGAAGAAATGTTAAAAGCAGGTGGGTTATAGTTTTGGAGTGGTTGGTGCAATTATTTAATAAATGTATGGAAGAGGGTAAGGTACCTAGGGATTGGCAGAGAGCATGCATAGTTCCTTTGTATAAAGGCAAAGGGGGTAAAGAGAGTGCAAAAATTATAGGGGGGTAAGTCTGTTGAGTGTACCTGGGAAAGTGTATGGTAGAGTTTAATTGAAAGAATTAAGAGTAAGACGGAAATAGGGATAGCAGATGAACAAGGAGGCTTTAGGAAAGGTAGGGGGTGTGTGGACCAGGTGTTTACAGTGAAACATATAAGTGAACAGTATTTAGATAAGGCTTTAAAAAGGTCTTTGTGGCATTTATGGATTTGGAAAGGCGTATGACAGGGTGGATAGGGGGGCAAAAGTGGCAGATGTTGCAAGTGATGGTGTTTGGAGGTAGGTTACGAAAGCATGTGAAGAGTTTTTACGAGGATAGTGAGGCTCAAGTTAAAAGTATGTAGGAAAGAGGGAAATTTTTTCCCAGTTTAAAGTAGGCCCTTTGACAAGGAAGTGGATGTCACCGTGGTTGTTTAATATATTATAGATGGGGTTGTAAGAGAAGTAAATGCGAGGGTCTTGGCAAGAGGCGTGGAGTTAAAAGATAAAGAATCACACACAAAAGTGGGAGTTGTCACAGCTGCTCTTTGCCGATGACACTGTGCTCTTGGGAGATTCTGAAGAGAAGTTGCAGAGATTGGTGGATAAATTTTGGGTAGGGTGTGCAAAAGAAGAAAATTAAAGGTGAATAAAAGGAAAGAGTAAGGTTATGAGGATAACAAAAAATTAGGTGATGAAAGATTGAATATCAGATTGGAGGGGAGAGTATGGAGGAGGTGAACGTATTCAGATATTTTGGGAGTGGACGTGTCAGCGGATGGGGCTATGAAAGATGAGGTGATCATAGAATTGATGAGGGAAAAAGAGTGAGTGGTGCACTTAGGAGTCTGTGGAGACAAAGAACTTTGTCCTTGGAGGCAAAGAGGGGAATGTATGAGAGTATGTATTTTACCAACGCTCTTATATGGTGTGAAGCGTGGGTGATGAATTTGCAGCGAGGAGAAGGCTGGAGGCAGTGGAGATGGGTCATGTCTGAGGGCAATGGTGTGGTGTGAATATAATGCAGAGAATTCGTAGTTTTGGAAAATTTGGGGAGGAGGTGCGGTGATTTCCAAAACTGTTGTCCAGAGGGCTGAGGGAAAGGGTTGTTGAGGGGTTCGGACATGTAGAGAGAATGGAGCGAAACAGAATGACTTCAAGAGTGTATCAGTCTGTAGTGGAAGGAAGGCGGGGGAGGGGTCGGGCCCAGGAAGGGTTGGAGGGAGGGGGTAAAGGAGGTTTTGTGTGCGAGGGGCTTGGACTTCCAGCAGGCATGCGTGAGCGTGTTTGTAGGAGTGAATGGAGACAAATGGTTTTTAATACTTGACGTGCTTTTGGAAAGTGTGAGCAAAGTAACATTTATGAAGGGATTCGGGGAAACCGGCAGGCCGGACTTGAGT